GCTCTTCCGCAAGGGTTACCAGCTCTTGGACCCTTATGTCACCGTCAGCGTGGACCAGGTGCGCGTTGGGCAGACCAGCACCAAGCAGAAGACCAACAAACCCACCTACAACGAGGAGTTCTCCACCACGGTTACCGACGGCCATCAGATCGAGCTGTCCGTCTTCCATGACACCCCCATCGGCTACGATGACTTTGTGGCCAACTGCACCTTGCACTTCCAGGACCTCTTGCGCTCCGCCGGCCCCAGCGACAGCTTCGAAGGCTGGGTGAGTAGGTGTCTCAAGGAAAGGCTGGAGCCAGGCTCCTCTCTGAATGAATGAAGGCGCTCGAAGGGTACTTGCAAGAGCTGGGGCTTGTCCTTGCACGCCTGCACTGCAGATGCACACAGCTCGGGGTGTGTGTCTGCATTTACACAAGTGTACCTTCGTGCATTTGTTTGTGCCCCTGTGCTTTAGATTGCTGTTTAGCCTGCTATTTTAGCTGGAAGGATGGGACCCTGGGAACAAAATGCACGCCTGCACTGCAGATGCACACAGCTCGGGGTGTGTGTCTGCATTTACACAGGTGTACCTTCGTGCATTTGTTTGTGCCCCTGTGCTTTTGCTGTTTAGACTGCTATTTTAGCTGGAGGGATGGGACCCTGGGAACAAAAAGTTTCAGCTGTTGTAGCTTGAGGGTCAAGACCCTGTAGCTGAGGGCTGTGAAGTCTCTCCTCTTGGTAGACTAGCAGAGAGAAGACTTGTAATACGTAACCGGCAAAGTACACCTGCAGACTCATAGGATTAGGTACCTTCCCTCTTCTGCTTAGCACACAGAGATGTACTTGGAAACTTGGATGCCTGGGCTTGGATGTGCTTCTGCTGAGATCTACACGTTTGCACAATAGTTTGATGTGTGCATGTGAATTTCCTTGACTTCTTAACAGAATGGCAGGACTAGTCTTGTGGCTATTATGTACAGCGCTGTGCTGGTTGAACACAGTTTCACTTGCAGCTAGTTCTGGATTAGTTCCAAGTAGATGTCACTTACATCCTTCCCAGAGAACCTCATGTATGTCTTAGTCCTAATGGTAAGTAAAAAGAATAGTACAGGCTCTAAAGTTGTGCCTTTGCTTCCAGTACTGTAAAGGAGGAGGAAGTGACTGTGTTGATCTGGATAGTAGTTTGCTTGTATTAGGTTAAAATTTTTTGGGGGAGCGGGAAAGCAGGCATTTGTTTTGGGTAGAGACGGTGCAGAAGAGCTGAGAATTTCTGAAGTTAAGATAGATATTAACTTTTTGAGGCCAGGATGTTCAGCACGTGTGGTCAGGTAACCACCACAATAAAATCAGATGTGGAGGAAAGAGCGCTGACGCTGTAAAGAACAGATACACATCTCGGTCATATCGCTGGGGAGAATGCTGGTGCTTTCTGTTCTCTGCTGGTGTCTGTGACTGAGGTGTGATGCTGCACCTCTGGAGTGATTACAGAGAGATACCAGTCACAGGATTGATTAATAGATGTATAATGGTACTTTTTAAAATTTTTTTCTTCTGCTTATGGTATACTTAGATACGCTATGGATAGGCTTGAGGTTCATGCACTAAAGGTGGTCTCTCTCAGACAGTCTCAAACGCATTAGCTCAGGTATTGGTCCTGACAGCACAGCCAGAGCAGAGTTCACGGGGGTTTGCTCGGTGGGTGCGTACCCAGCCTCCCAGGCTAGTTGTGCCGCTGGAGAGAAACTGCTCCTGGGACTTGTGCTATAACAGTTTTAAATACAGAACAGACCCCTACGGGCCAGGGCAAAGATCTGAGCTGAGGATAGAGAGCTGTGGTTTTGAGGGTTTTCTTCGTGTTTGATTTGCTGGGGGTGTTTCCTCTTTGCTGTTGAGAGAGGCCCTATCCTTTTGGGAGGCTGGAGTCCCCAGTCACACTGGGTCTGGCTACATGTGGGATTGGACTGCTCTGTTGCAAAGGTGGTAGCCTTATTTACATTATTAAAATACCTATAATAATATTGCCTCTGGTGTGGATGCATGCATGTCCAAGGGCCCACTGTTTCTTTCATTTCATCCATCCTGCAGTGCTGATTTTTAGGACATATGCAGTCTGTGGCCTGAAATGCTTTTTGGGTCTTTGGTGAGGGAAAAATTTGTTATCCCTGCTGGATAGGCACGTGTTTTATGAACTCCTGTACCTGTGAGATAGTGGGTGCAATGGAGTTGGAAATCAGTGAGTTTTTTAACTAGACTGATGTAAACTGATGTTATATCTGGGCATGTAGACAGAGGCTAAGAGCTGCTGCTCTTCTTTTCAGTTAATGTCTAAAAATTACAGCTGGGGTGGATTTAGTGGGGAGTGAGCAAACGTTCATCTTCTGTTCCCTTTCTGCTTTCCCCTCCCTTTTGACTTGCTTTGTTAGCATCTCGCATAGCGTGCAGCCAGGATCACATGATGACAGGGAACAGTATCTTGCCCTGATAATTTAATATGTCTTGATAAATCCCGCAAGGCTGTCACGGGGTTTTGTGTAATCAGAAAGATAGGAAATGCTGGTTTGTACTAACGCAAGGTCCGTGAACTGCTGGCACGGTACAAGACACCACAAGGGATTTCTAGATAATTTGCAACACCTCCACTCTGAAATCCTTCGTACTGCCCGTTTTCCATCTGCAAAGCAAAAGCACATACAGGCATGGAAGGAGTGAATAGAGTGAGAGGAAAATTGGTGAATCCTCAAAGTTTAACCTGGCTTACATTTACTTGGCTGTGCATGATTTTTCATTCTGATTTGAAATAGAATTTTTACGTTCAATTTTCAGAGACAAGGATAACAAGATCTTGGTAAACTCCAAATGATCCTTGGATTGGTAACAGCCGAGCAGGGCAGGGCAGCTGGCTGCTTCTGCTCCCTGAGCTTTCCTCTAGAGAGCCGAGCTGCTGGGGATTACCTGGGACAGTCTCCCAGCTCACGTGCTGGCCTGAAAGTTTTAATGTGAGCTCTCAGGCTCATGCAACTTTGTTTATAAATGTGGATTTTCTCCTGCTGGAAAAAAAGAAAGAGGCGATTAGTTGTAACATTGGTCACCACCTCTTGTGAGATCTGTAGGAAGTGTCAGCGAGAGGCAAGTCGGAGCAGTTGGTGTGTAAGCACTGGTGCTTCCCAGATGACTTGCAGGTACATCACTGCAATTATGACCCCAAACACTTCTGTACATGAGTAAGTGTATGGACATGAACTGTCTCATCAGTAATGCACCTGAGTCATCCCACTGGCTACTGGGACAGAGTTCTCTGTTCACTGTTTGCATTAAAATCCATGCTCCAGAGACTCTTCAAAACTGACCCTTTTTCTTCTAACCATTTTGATTGTTTTCTGAAGTCTTTCTAGTAAATACATTAGCATGGTCTGGATATTTTTTAATTTGCCTATTAGTTGTTAAACACGTTTGACTAATTTTACGCAGATCAAATCTGTAAGAGCTTATTAACTTCAAGATCCTTCTCTCTGTTTCCCATTTCTTATATTTACTTGTCAAATTGCAGAGCAGTAGTTTTTATTAATATTGTCAATTAAATGCCATTTTGCCTTCAGCATACTTTAACATAGTTAAAACCGGGAGCGATCTTTCCGGTACCATGTTCTTTCTGGTAGGCATTTTCCTGTGTGGGTGTGAAATTGTGCAAACCTGAATGGTAGCATTTTACACAGGTACGCGTGACCCTGCTGGGTGCAACCCAGTGGAGAATTAAGCTGGCTGCTGTCCGAAGCTGTTATGATTTACATCAGGGTTGAAACTTGTCTTTTAAAGCATTTAATTTTGCACTTGCATGTGCTAAGATCTTTTTACTCGGCGTATGCATCTTTAAAAGGTAGTATCTCCTCTTTAGCTGTCTCTGAGTGCAGTATAGGAAGCAGTCACATGTCAGTGAAACAACATAAATAATTTCAGTTGTAACCGAAAGGGGAGAGGTTTACAATACATAGGATTATTACTATGAGTTTTATATAGCAGCTGAAATAATTTTTAAGCTTGGGGAAACACTGTTTACAGATACGGAATTGCACTGTTACTAGGGAATTATTTAATTACGATTGTAAAAATTGTTAGTCCCGGGGCAGAGATGTCATAATTTCTAGGACTTTAACAAGGAGTTAAAATTAAACCTTGATCTTGAAGTAGCAAATTATCAGAGTATACCAAATGAAACTAGATAACAGATGGACTATAAGATTAACGAGCCAATCGGAACTTCCTGATGAGTTTGTTACCATTTGCTCATGTGTGCAGGAAGAGATTAAGACAAATAATTCTCATGCGTTCCTTAACTTGAGCTCTTTTGCCTATATCCTTTCCTATGTTTTTTTTCTTTCTTAAAGCAAAAAGAATTGTATTTTACGAACGTTTATATGCAATTGTATTTATTGAACGTTAAAAATTCAAGAGTTAAAGGAGAATGCAACTTCTTCCCCAGAGCATCACGACCTTGGCAGAGAGCCAAGGTGCTGCAGGTCAAATACGATATGGCTGCTTCTTGTTTTGACTCCCGTTTCGCTGCAGAGTGTTATCCGGGTGGGTAAAACTTGCATCAGGAAGCCAAAAACTCTTCATAGCTGTTGACAGACGATTTTGGGATGCAGTATTTTGTGTCTGCATCAGCCTGTGCCCACTTGCAGAGATGGGCTGCCACTTGTAGAGCAGGAGTAAATGGCGTCTCCTTCCATAGGTCAGTAGGAGGCTGAGATAAAGAGCAATAGCAATCTCTCCATGTGATTTTTGTTTCCATGCATGTGACAACCATGCACGTTGTGCAGATCTCTGATCTGTGTGAAAGTCACGCTGCACATCAATTGCAAACTAGGCTTGAATAAACCAAGCTGCTTCTCTCTTTCTTGATAAGTTTAAGTTGTTTCTGTAATTATTATTACTAATACGCAATTATTATGTTGAATGGGAATAGTGGAGAGAAGCACTCACTGCGGAAGGTAAGATGGTTTTGGAAAGCTACCAGAATTTCAGCTACTGTTTCTTTCCTTTTGCACACAGCTGTCCTTTGGCCATGCGAACAAACCCTTCAAAATGCCAGCAGAGTCCTGTGCACCAAGGCTACCCCAGAGTGTCCCGCAGCCTAAAACAAAGGTTGTAATAAATAAAAGGGAAAAATTGTTGCTATTTGTCAGGTATTAAATAATCCTGGGGCATGTGATGCTAATAACATTTTTACTGATCAAGGCAGATGAGAATAACTAGAGCTGACTGTGTCACGAAGAGCTGCACGCTTGC